ATCTGTCTGTCTGTCTGTCTGTCTGTCTGTCTATCTATCTATCTATCTATCTGTCTGTCTGTCTGTCTGTCTGTCTGTCTGTCTATCTGTCTATCATATACCAAATATGCTATTCTGTTATTCAGATTGTGTTTTCTGGCCACAGAATTTAAACATAACCCAGAGGCTTAACCAATTTAGAGGCCTCCATCTCCCAAAATCGCAGAAGCAGATTCTGCATATTGCTGTTTACTTTTGGAAGATTCAGAGCACGGGAGAGGCGTCTTCCCTTGGTGGGCATGGCCAGTCAGAAGGCATCCATGTATCTGACTATATAGGCTTCAGCTATTTATTTACTCCTTGCATATATATCCCATCTTTCCTCTGAAAGCTCAAGGCGGCAGAGCTAGGGGGTCTCCCCTGCTTTCTTCTCCATGACAACTTTGCAAAGGTAGGTTGGGCTGAGAGAGAGTGACCGGCCCAAAGCCGCCTTGACTGAAGGGGCACCTGAACTTCAGTCCAAGTCCAGCATTTTAAGCACAACACTAGTCACAAAAACACCAGTGTAACAGAAAGCAGATAGATTAGATTGTTCTTGCTGTCCACCTGGCCTGCAGGTGCGCTCTAACACTTAGGGACATCCAACAGCAAGGGGGATGGGAGTCAAATAAGTCAAAATGACAGTTCCCAACTGCCAACTTGGGTTTCTTTCTTTCTTTCTTTTTTTACCATCCCTGTGGATGCCACTGCTAACCCTCCCTTACATTCGTTCTTTTGCCAGGCAGCAGGGCAGATCTGGAACTCTGAGTGTCTGTTGCTATGGACATGCCTTGACATGGCAGTCATAGTGGGCGTGTCCAGCCACAAAAAAAACCATTTAGCTGAAGGTAACCTGATGGGAATGCTTCAGCACCATCTTCTGTAGTATCCCAGGAGTACCTTATGTCCCTCAGCTTACTTTGGCCTTTTCCTGGGCAGGCAGGAACATCTCAAATGAAACACCAAGCTGTAGCCCCATGACATTTTCATTTTCCAAAAAGGTTTTTGGAATCTACGTGTGATGAAAACCTCCCTGGAAATAGTTGTGCTTCACTTGGCTTTGCAGCTGGCCAGTTTCCCATTGATGATGATGATGTTTAGAATCTAAAAATAAATTAAATCCAACATGGGTACTTATTGTTCCTTCTCAGACCCAAAGTCCCTGATGCAGGATGATTTAAAGCACAGGCTGCATACAAACACATACCCATCACTGTCCCTGGCCTATGAATATGCTGATATTTGTTAATTTGATTTACATTCTACCTTCTCTTCAGGAGCAAAAGCTGGCCTTCCTAGCATTCCCTCTTCCTATTTTTTTTCTACAACATGAACTCTGTGTGGTGAACTGGGCTGAGGGTGAATGACTGGCTCAAGTCATCAATGAAATTTGTGGTTGAGGGTGGACTAGAATCTACTGTTGGGACTCCTGGTCCAACACCTCAAACAACACATCTCACAGTCTCTCCCTCTCTTTCCTCATTTGTTTATCTTTGATTATGTCTGTTACCTAGGAGAGCGCAGGTTGGACAACGACAAGGACAATTTTGAGAAAGGGGCAGAAGACAAGTTCACCCTTGATGCCCCCAATCTGGGAAGACTCAGGAAAATCACCATCGGGCATAATAACAAGGGAAGCTCGGCTGGATGGTTCCTTGCTAAGGTTTGCTATAAGTTATTAATTAATTAATTAGGTCACCAAATCAGAAAGACTTAATTAGGTTTACCTTAACTCTGTTGAAATGATCAGAATGCAAGGTTCTCCATTCCTTACAAGCCTCTGTGCCCTTCCTGAGGATTAAGTCAAGCCATGAAATCAAAATAACCCTGGAGTGGCAGGACCACAGTTTGAGGCTTCGATTCTTTCAAGTATGCTTCTGTGGGGACTTGGGATAAGGGGAAAGAGAGGTCCTTTAAAGCACACATTTGACTCCTTAAGTACCCAAATGAGAAACTGCTTACTGTTGGGGGGTGGTTAGCAATTTTAAGGGGTGAGATGGATGCAAAAATTAAGATATCCATTTGGGTCCTTAGAAAACAACAACAACTACCCTCAACACATGAAAACACTGTGGGTGGGGCTCTGAGTGAAATGTACTTATGGGGCACATGTTTGGTGTTGGAGACTGAAGCATTCTGTTTGTGCATGTGGGTGTTTCTGAAACTGGGAATCTGACGGAGCAAGGATTAGTAGAGCAGGTTGGATAATTCTAAAGAGGGGAGATTTATTTATAGGAAATGCATTATACTGATAGGCAAAGCTTAGCACCTAGTTAACTATACCCTACCAGGAGGAGAATTGGAGAGTTTGTGTTCCATATCTGTGTGCCTGAGAAGAAAGGCAGAAGACATTAACTCAGATTAGCAGTCTCTAATCTAATAATAATAGGCAGAATAATAGACAAAGTGGGGACACCGAGCAAATCCTTAATACTCTATCTACTCCCAACTGCCCCTTTATGGTCAGTAGGTCATGAGGTGTTGAAAAGTCAGGGTCATTGGATTTAGACCTTGAACCCTTCAAACAATGTTGAACTGATCTCTTTCTTTGGTAAGAAGGACAATGTTCTCAATGAATACCTGCAGGTAAAAATCCACTGTGTGTGCTCCAAAATCAATCCAGATGCAGATGGTTCAACAGCATCTCACCTTGCTGATGAGATGTTCTGCTCTGACCCTAGGTTATCATTGAAGACATTGGCAACAAGTCAGTGTATGAATTCCCATGCAACCGTTGGTTTGCGCTGGATGAAGATGACGGCAAAATCCAGCGAGACATTCTTGTGGGAGGAACAGAGGCAACTGGTAAATGTGTTTGAAGCTGCAAGCGATGAAGCCAAGACAGGCGAGGATGAACTTGGGTTAAAAATGGAACCTTCTGGCACAGGGAATGATGTGCTTGCTTTGAAAAATTGCAGGTTCCAAAGCTGTAGCATGCTTCTCAGCCATGTGATAGAAGTGGGGAATGATCTCCCTCTCAGGATGGAGGTCTATCCCCTTCAGCAAGGAATTCTTCCCTTTTCTATATGATGGGGAGAAAATTCAGGACCTCTGCTACTACAAGTGGGTATGGCCTTCCATTCTCTATTTCTGACATATTCTTTCTTTTTCATTTCCCCACATCCACCACCACCATGTAGCAGACTGGTACAAATTGCTGTGGCCAAAGATCTGAATCACATGCAACCACGATGCCTACCATGATGTCTGAGAATTAAGGAAATTATCACTCCAATTACATCAGGAGGAGATGTGATACAATAAGCACAGGCATAGATTGCTTAATTATAGTTTATTGAACAGACCACAGTTGGATGGGTCTGCACAGTACACTCAATGTTAAGCCTTGTTTTACAAAATTCAGGGCTAGGTTCATACAAGACTTTAAGGCCCAAGCAAGCAGACCATATTTTGCCTTAATGAGATGTGTGAACCTAACTACACATTTGCTAATTTTACATGCAGTACTAAGCTATGGTTTAGCATAAGAATGAACTGCAGCAAACCTTGGGCTTAGCTGTTTCATCTCTGTGGCTATGTGATCAAAAACTGCTTCCAATTTAGCATTATCCTAAGCAGTATTGAGTCTTAATGCTGAGTATTGATAAAAAGAACCCAGTTTTGTAAACTAGTTTAAAATTGGCTTGTCTCCACTAAACATCATTAAGACCAACTGATGTTTCTCCAGATGTGGCCACACATCATCCTATATTTCCTTACTTCAAAGTTGTAATGGGAGAGGAGTGAGAAAGGAAAATGCACAAGCCCTAAGGGAAGCTAATTTGTGGTTATAACACTGAAAGTGAGTACTTACTAGAAATAAAAAGGCGGGGTATTAATTAAATTAAAAAAAAATAACATTGTATCCACACTATTAATGAACTCTTACAAAATCTAGAGCTGAGATAAATCTTCAGAAGGCAACACTGTGAAGATTCTTATAAAACTGCTGGAGCACACTAGACAACAATCAAGAAAAAAAAAAATACCACTTCTGGACACTGATTTTGTTTTCTCTAAATATTTCTGAGGACTATACCTGAGCATTGTGAAATTAAGATGAACTTTAGATCTGGCTTCCCAGATCTCTAAGAGCCAAGCTGGACTGATTGATAGATTTTAAAGAAGCTGTTGGGGCACCATCATCAGCCCCATGTCCTGCTTCAGCCCTAGCAACTTCCAAGCATGGAATGCTTGAGCATGAAGGGGCATTTCAGCCACAGAATCACACCCCTTGCTCAGTGCAGGTTAAAGCACCCGAGACAGATGGCCATCCAGCTTCCACTAGCAACCTACTCCTGGTTCTGCCTAATTATGAAAGAAGAGAGGGCAAACGAAGGAGCTTTATGAAGAATGTGACTAAGAATATCTTAGTCTAATGTGAAGTGAAACTTCAGCCCATGTAATTAGTTTATAGTTCATGGTGCCTAGTGAACCCAGAAAATTGGGTTGAATGATGGTTCAAGTAACCTTGAGTAAGTACATTGTGCAAATATAGCCATAGAGAACTGACTGACCTGGTTCGCACAGAATGCTGAGTCATAGTGGCTGGTTTTGCACATAATACTAAATCAGAAAGTTTGTGCCAGAATCTCCTTGCCATGTCTCAGAAGTGTTTTTTCCCCTTTATCAAAGAGGCTTCGGCTTTCCTAACACTTTTTCATGCTGCATTTATACAACATCTTTCACCTGATTGCTTTAATAACTTTTTCTTTGGGTTCACACAATAAACTGAACCCAAAACTAAGAAAATGGGTTGGCTTCGCACAACGCATGAAGTTGCAAAACAAAACGAAAGACGAAACAAAAAACAAAACAAACCACTGAGGTTAACACTAAGCCAGCTTAGCACGTTGTGGAAAGGCAGCTGCTGGGTCTTTACCCAGTCTGGTTAAGGTGTTACAGTGCTTGAGAACGTGTTTTGAATCTCTCCTGATGACGGTTGTGGAGCTTCCCTTATCATGGGAAAAGTGCTAGCGCTGGTGTTTCCATTGCACATCTTTCCTTCACTTTGAAGTTTGAAGCGGCCCAAATCTCCCAGATTGAAAACAAAAAACAAAACAAAAATCCTGAGAGAAGGTCCTTCTTGATGTCTTCTTTTGAGGTTTAACTGAATCAGAGGAATCCAAGGAGGTGCAGACTGTTGGAGGGACAGTTGCACACGAGGGACAGGGCATCCACACTTACCATTTGGCCAACTCTTAACTCTCGCCACCCATGAGAATTGCATAGATATTTTCTTCTCCTTTCCAGGAAATGCCAAAAGCAAATGATCTTCCATCCAATTAAAAGAATACCAATAGAGGTAAAAAATGCAGGAGATTGTTTAGGGTTTTGTTTTGTTGGCTTATCATCAGGCTCGGCCATTATATCTTGCAAGTCAGACTCTAAGGGGCGAACTCAGGCCCTTCTACTCCATCTAAGTTGCAAACCAGGAGTTGTCATTTCAAAAGCATCCCTGGGCTCTTCCAGGGAACTCTGCTCCAAAGCACACCAGTGCACTACTGGGCTACCCAGAATCCCCTGCTCCCTGGGGAAGGAAACAGAGGGGAATGCAGGACTCTGTTCTCAGCTCTGAGGCATCTGGGCAAACAGCATGCATGCTGGGAAGCTGAGCACAATCCAGGATTTCTGCCAGGGGAATCACAGCCTCCATTGGCGTGAGCTGCCCTTTTGAAACAGCTCAATTATTTATCTCAGCAATTATTTCTGGGGAAAAACTAACAGTCACTTTATGCATCAGAATTTTGGCTGGGAACCAGGGGTGTCTTCATTCTCTGACTCATGGGTGTTCTCCTACTGTGCAAACCCCAACACTGGTTGTTCCTGCCTATTATCTAGTTTAACTAGAGAGCCCCAACGAACAAATGCTATATCACTTTTCTAGAAAATAAGACATGTCCTCTCCCTGCTGACCTCAGTAGAACCTTCCTAAGATGCTTTATGAAGCCAGGCCATGATTATTAACATAAACATATGTGCCTGTATCTGTTCAGTCTCCTTCTCTGATAGCCAAACTCACTGGACTTCTATTCAGACCTTGCTCCTTTTCAGATGACTGTCGTAGTTGCTATCCATGTTGAAAGATGCCTGCTGAAGCTTAAATTATATACAATTTAATAAGATGAAATCTCTGCTGAATGAACAGTGCACCACAGGCAGCCTTGTAACAGCCGAAGTCCCTGCAAGGACAAGTTGGTAGTATGTGTTTTACTTTACTTAACTTTAGTGAGTTGTTAAAGGAAGAGACAATTGCTATGGTGATCTCCTGAGTTTTACTGCAAATCTGTGCTAACATCTAAGCAGCATTGGCTGGTAGCCAGGGATTGTCTGGTTTTGAATCATGAGTTTTGACTGCAGTGGCACCATGCAGGAAGAGCACCTTTGGCCCGCCTCCTTCTGTTCACATACCTAATGCTAAGAATATTGAAACTTAACAGTTGCTCTTGTATCACATTTTTAGATGCATAATCTGGGTGATTTATTTCACTGGTATAACGTATTATATTTGCAGGCAAGCAAATTGGGCATTTGTTGAATTGGCAAGATGTTGCAAGTTTTTCTGCAAATAGAAAAGAAGTTGTAAGTGAAGATAAGCTGACTGTACTGCTTGGTTCAGTTGCTGAGTAGGCTATCCTACGACAGCAGGTACCACCTGAAGTCACATACCACACCCTTGTCTGTTCTCTGTCTCTAGATTTGTTCCCTGACAGGTTTTCTTTTAAAAAATAGCTACACAACAGATAGAAATTTAATACAAGTCACCTTTCCTTGGCCTCTTTGCAGCTATCCACTGACACCCACAAACGTAGACATTTGGCGTATTAATGCAAATACTCACACAGTAGCGTACAAAGTGATCAAAATTCTTTAAAATCAAGTACAGGTAGTCCCCAGTTTAAGACGAGTTCTGTTCCCAAGGTCTGTCCTTAAGTCGAATTTGTACGTGAGCCCGAACAGTATTATGTGTAAGTAGTATTGTGTAATGAACTCGAACCATTGTGGATTTAACTTGAATCACTGTGGATTTAACTCAAATATTGCTATAATGGGTTCCGTTCTTAACTATGGGTTGTCTGTCACCTGTTGTTCTTAATCCAGGGACTACCTGTGCGAGTATTATGATCACTTCCTGTTATTGAGTAGTTTCCCCCTTTTGTTATGTTAAAAATCCAGATTGTGCCCGTGCTTCACGAAATGGATACTGAAGAAGGATTAGGCCTCTGTTGGCTTCTGATTATTCCTGAAACTCAAGCATCATGTCTTAAATACCAGCTGCTGGGGAGAGACAGTGGAAGATGATCTCCCCAACCTGCTCATAAGTTTCTCAGATGCAGGGGATGAGCCCTTATGCATGAATGTTGGACGAGCTGGATTACGAGACCAGGATTCCTAGGCTGAGATGTAGCGTATAGGGCTACAAGTTATGGATCCTTGGTATATGCAGTGACAGCTGCATGTCAGCTGATGAAGCTATTAATATGAGTAGTGTGTGTGTGTGTGTGCATGCATAAGAGAGAGACTGCAATTACTCCACCTGAGCCCATAACCCTAGGCTTGGTTATAACTAGATAGTTGAACATTGAATACCTAGTACAGTGGAAAGAGTAATTGGAAAACATGTCATTAGTAAGGGCATTGTGGCAACTGCACTTTGCATTCTGTTCATCTGACTCACCTCCCACCCTCCCAGGTATTGTTTACAATGTGGCAGTGGTCACTGGCGACGTCAGAGGAGCAGGCACCAATTCCAAGATCCATATTGTCATGCATGGCTCCAAAGGGCTAAAAAACAGTGGGAAGATTTTTCTGGAAGGTGGGAAGTTCGAACGGAGCAGGACCGACCTTTTTAATATTGAGATTGCTGCTCTCCTTAGCCCCTTAAGCCGCGTCTCCATTGGGCATGATAATGCTGGCATCAGCTGTGGCTGGTATTGTGAGAAGGTAAGGACATGTCCTAAGATGCTGCTGAACAGCTGTTCAAGCTTTTTTTATCCCACTGGCAATCTGATCAGGGTGACCTAGAACAGTTTATAAAAAACCCCAAAGCTCTGATTTCAGTTATGATGCCATTGGGTTAATTGGTCAATATAAGGCAATAATGTATTCCACAATTCTGCTTTTACCTAATACATGTCATATGATATTCAGCGTTGTGCACAGATCAGCAATGTGTCCATTTCATTAAGCTCTTGGCTGTTCTGCAGTCTCAAAGAAAAAGACAACCAGCCATTTTCGTGCAACCTTAGCATTAATAACATTGAGGGGAAAAGTCTCCTGTTTTTAGACTATTCCATGAAAGAGAATCTGCTTTTGAAATTTCTTCCAAAGAGCATGTCTGAGAAAGTCCCACTGGTTTATGGATCTCTCTCTCTCTCTCTCTCTCTGCCTTCTGCCTTTCTCTTGCTTCAAAACTTTGCCCAATGTAGGCATGTCCATCAGCAAGCTGTGTACCCCTCCTATATCTTCCCCAATCCTGTCCTTCACAGATATTTTGGGATTACAGCATGCATTTGGAGGGCATCAGGTGGGGCAAAATGTATAGGCCAAGTTGAATATGAATTAACTGGAGCTGCTCATTTCATCTCCCTTTGCCAGGTGGTGGTGTATTGCCCATTTACTGGTATCGAACAGACATTCCCTTGTGGGAAGTGGTTGGATGAGAATGAAGCTGAAGGTCTGGTGGAACGGGAACTCTACGAAATGGTCTCACTGCGCCAGAAAAGACTGAAAAGTAAATGCACCAGAAAGCAAAGTTTGCTTTCCATTTCTGTGTAAATAAATGCTCTGCTCTTAGGTAGCATTTGTACAGGTCACAGTTCTTTTTTACTAGGATGTGTAGACCAGTGTAGGTCCAATCCATCTTGCTATCTGCTGGGGGTACAGAATTAGACTCTGGCAGATTTATATCGGGGTTTTAAAATAGGGTTTTCCTAAAGCTACTTCCCTTTTGCAGCTCTTCTTCGAATGAATGTCCAAACTCTGCACAAAGGGAACTCATCTTCTGAGGAGAGGGTCACGCTACAGTAACCATGGGGTTTTGCTTTCTGCGAAAATCTGGAAAAAGCCAAGAGCCCAGAACATCTTTGTACACTGTCAAAAATAAGTTGGACCCCCCTGCCCCCCCCGGGAAGGATGAATGTTAACTATAGCTTATTCTAGCTATTGTTTCTCTTACTATGGATCTCCTGGGAGCAAAACATCTAAATCTGCTCCCAGCAAGTTTCATGTTTTTTTTTTTTTTGACACCCATTCCTTTCAGAGGAATGAAACATTTATTCATCTATTTACTTTTACATTTTGTTAAAGATTCCATCTGTCCAGAACAACTTTGTATTATAGGAGCTCTAATCTCCTACTTACTTCTGTAGTTCTACTGAAAGAACATTGTTGTCTCTTACAGTAAGAAGATAACAGTTGAGGGCTTCAGGTTGTGTTCCACAGAAAGACATTTCTGTGCCGGATTCAGAACTGGAACCTGGGAAATGGGGAAGATGCTGTAGCCTCTCATCTTCCCTTGATCATATTAGTGCGACGAATACTTTAAAAATTGGCTAAGGCACTACTCAAGAGGTCTCAGGGGTGAGAAGTTTGTTCCATTTAAGAAACAATTCCATGGAAAGCTAGCTTGTTACAGTAAACATTCCTCGGGGTTAGAACCACTTTATCTCTAATGTGCAGTTCACTCAGAGAAAGCGTTTATGACCTTTAAACTGCCATCCCTGATTGCAATTGACAATGCAATTCCTGTTTGGCTGCTGCGTCTTAAATGGGCAGCAGAGAGTGTCCTTGAATAGGTGGCGACTTTTAGCTATACCAAAGTCACCATACATTGGATAACTTCTCACCCTTCTGTTTAACTTGGCAGGTATATTTTGGTATTATCATTCCGCAAGACCTTTGAACCAAGATCTTAGGACAAAGTTTCTTGGGTTAACCCATTTTGAATCATGTATCTCCTGTAAGGTAGCTTAAGCTGAGTTCTAGTTCTCACTGACGTGGCAAAAGTGAGAGTTGTAGCTCTAGCTGCATAAATTCTCTGTACTTTTTATGTTGTTGACTGTAAAGGGCATTAGGAACAGAGATAGGAAGCAAGAGACCCCTCTTCATTCTTCTTTGTTTGTGCTTTGGTTTCCTCGGACAGATACTGTTAGATTCTCCCCTTCAATCTGCTTTCTGTAGAAAGATTAGGGGGCTTCATTTTTCTTCCCATAGATGTGCTCTGCTAGACATGGGCCCCAGTGAATGAACTGGAGAGTTTCAATTAGGGTTATCTCAAGCATTTCCCATCAGTTAAAATCTGTTCCCTTCCCTTCAGACTGGAGACAGATGTCCAGGACAAAAGGATTCTATGTACCAAAATACAGGGAGAGAAGTTGTAGCTTGGTGCCTAACCTAATCTTCTGGCTGACATTTAGGAGCAGATATATCTGTTGAAATGCAGATAGCTTTATACAGTGGAAAGAATGCATGGGGAGAGAAACACTAACATTATAACTTATATAAGTTATATATAACTTTTATAAGAAAATATCCTTGAGGCTCATCCTTGCATGAAAGAAAAATAAAGATAAGCTTTATTTAGGAAACAACAACAACAATAACACATTACAATTCCTGGAAACAGCAGAACAGAAGAGAAAGAACTGGAGAAAATCACAGAATATAAAGACCTGCAAATAAAAGTAGAATGACTATGGCAAAAGAAAGCAAAGATAGTACAATAGTAATAGGCACTTTGTGTGCAATCCCAAAACATCTGGAGCACCACTTGAACACTATCAGCAATGACAGAATCACCATCAGTCAACTGCAAAAGGCAGCTTTACTTGGAATAGCTTATAGTACATCCTGCAACAATACCTTAACACCATCAAACCATCAAACAACATCTGCCTCTCCCAGGTCCTTGGAAAGGACTGAATAGGTGGATAAAAATGCCAAATCCAGTCTAAACATCTGGTTGACTGGGCGACCAACCACCACCACCACCACCACCACCATCAACTTTATTAAATTTACATGCCACCCAACTCCTAGCAACAGGGAAAGCTTAAGTATGTCTGCAGCTAAGGGCACCTAGTGCGTTCTCCTCCATTATGGAGAGACAGTGAGTCAGGTTAAGTACCTGAATTGCACAGGTCAGAGACAGAAGAAAACTGAATTGAAAGAAGAAGGAAGCGATGAATGCCATGAGAATAACTGTCTAACCAACAGGAGGCATGTTACATGGAGACATGAAAAGTAAGTTTTTTAGATGAGGAAAGGAGGTAAAAGTACAGAGTCCCTCAGCTAACTATCACTACATTTATCACCCTAATGGTCAATAGGTTTATAAATGCAGAAAGCCAGTCCATGCAAAAAGGAATTCCATCATCATCATCATCATCATCATCATCATCATCATCACCATCATCATCTCTACGGAGGAATTTTCTAATATGTCAGCTCCCGTTTGCAGTGACTCTGACCAGACAGAGATTATCCCAAGAGAATATCATGCTGAACAAAAATTTAAACGAGGATGCCTGATCCAGATTCCCAGTGTGTGATCCATGTCACAAAACTGCATGGGAACAAGTACCTTGACCCCAATTGTTCTTGTGATTTTAATTATTGAACTGGAATAGCTGTTCATATTACTGTGAGTACAATCAGGTTAATGTAAGGATTCTCAATTTGTTTTCAGTTTCTTTTTTATTTTGGTCATTTAAAAAAAAACATTTAATTTAAAAATTGATTTTAATGTAATTTGGTAATTAATGTAAAATCAACATTCATTTTTAATGTATTTTTGATAGAAAATCCTTGGTCGCTGTGGATATGGACAAGTGACATTAAAGGTGCAGGAACAGATGCTCCCATCTTCCTCCAGGTTTATGGTGACAAAGGAAAATCTGATGAAATGAAATTAGATAATAACTCAGATAACTTTGAAGCTGGACAAACTGACAAATTCATGGTATAGTTTCTTGTACTCTATCTGTGCTCCAAGCCCAGTGGGAAGTGTTTGTTTGTTTATTTATTTATTTACTGCTACATTGCATGGAGATGGGGCCAAATGCTTGTTCTTCCTTTGACGTAAGGGCCAAGTTGGACGGCATGGAAGAATAGGTCTTTGTTGTTAATGCAAAAATATTTCATAGCCCTTAGAAAAAGAGGAAAAAGAGCAAATTGTTGGAATGGCCGGAGATGTTATTGACGTTTGTACTACTTTGGCTTTGAATATAAAACACAGGGATCTGATTCATGCATAATGCCAAACTCTGATGTGGGTTGTTGCTTTTTGGTTTAGGGAATCCATCTATTAGGATTTATCATTATGTGAGAACCAGGCCACTGTTGCTTCTTCAACAAACAATGGCTTAACATTTCCTGGCTCGGTATTATATGGAAATACAGCCTACAGTTGCTTTGAACAGGAAATAACTGATCAAGGAGTCCTTTTCCAGGAGCTGTCAGTATTAATGTCCTCCTTCCTCTCTTTTCACTTGTCCATCAGCAGAGTAAAGGAAGAACGCTTCTATGCTTCCTTCCTTTCCCTTTTAGGGCCCAGAGTGTTGCTTTTCTCAGTAACTCTGCGAAATGTATTTTCCCACTTCTTAAGATACGGGCTAATAGACCTTGTCCAAGGGAAGAAGGAGGCATAGTCCTATTTCTCAAATCTTTCTTCCGGCAAAAGTAATTGCTAAATAGGGCTTTAATTATTAAATAGCCTGGGCTACAGTTTAGCAGAAATTTGGCTGTATTAATATCAGCATTAACTATATCTGATCTCTTACCATATGTGAAGCATTTGCAAGATGTCTTTCTTCCTTGACCCACATAAAATAGATGCATTCATGCTTTTCCTACATCATGAAATGTGACTTTGAATTTATATTTAAGGACTTTGGAATTTAAAACTGTATGTAGCTTGTAGAAAATCACTTTTTCATAAATTTATAATCAAGATATGGGGGGGGGGGAACTCTCCCTCAACTCAAAGAACAAAATAGAAGCTGCCTGAATTCCCCCAGGTTTGAAACCCAAACGCTTAGATAAGGACGTATCATTTTGGATGCAGGTGGTGAAATGTTCACAGGCCACATATGGGTACCCTGACCCATTTTTGCAGCCTCCAAGTGCTTCTTGGAAACTTAACCTCTCTATTTTGTGTTTTAAAAAAAATTAAAATTCCTCTTTACTTTGGTGTTGTTGCTGTATAGCCCTTGGAGGGAGAAAAAGTTTACCCACCCCAATGTATGCAGTGCTGTGCATTTGACTCTTAGGTAGATTTTTTGGTGCCGTAATCAATGACTCTGAAATCCCTTTGCTCTATGCCAATACCGAGCACTCAACAATGCCCAAAATGACATCAATAAGTGGTGCCTACAGATGTCCACATTTTTTAAAAAACTAAAATTAAAATTAATGTGCAAAATTTCACAAGAGAGCTGTATCTCACAGGATCCCTACATTCTCTCATAACCTTTAGCGAGATTTGGGCCCCTCTTACTTTTTAATAAATAATAGATTTATTATTTAATGTCATAAAAGTACACTGATTGATGGATTGATTAATTGATGGAAAATGGCTTCATTTTCCTGGTCCTGCGCAGGCTTCCTGCGCCTGTCCTAGAAACAGGTTACCACAGATAAGTTTTATGCTTGTTTCTACAGATTGAGCTCCCGGATCTGGGTACCTTATTCAAAGTTCGGATATGGCATGAGAAGCGCAGTCCTTTCTCTGGGTGGCATCTCAACAAGGTGAGAAGAAAATGGGCTGGGCTGTTTTGAGAGTAAGCCATACTAACAGCTACACAAATGCATTTCTAATAGCTTTTTATGAGCTCACAGCTGAAGCTAACACAGACCCAGGGTGATCTCCAGCAAAGACTACTCTCAAGACCTTTTTCTGTTTTGAAATACCTGGTGTGTCATTCCTAAGCTTGATTACCCATTCTGAGCCATGGGATGGACATACCCGCCCATTTCTGGACATTGCATTTTAAAAAGTAGCCAGAGAAATGGGAACCAATGTCAGCAAGAACAGCAAAAGTGATCAGGAGATTGCAAAATAAGTCCTACATGGAGATAGTGTAGGATCTGGGGAGAAAAGAAGATGGAGGGGAGATACGATACCTAAAGATGTAGAACGCTCAAGACATGTACTCTGTTGTATCAGAGTGCAGGACGTGTGGACATTCCTGCCTTGGTGTAGCAGGGCTGAGCTCATAGGGTGAAGGCTGGAGGTCTCAGACCTCTGTCCCACAAGTCTTCTGCTTCCCACACCTTCATCCTCCTTCCTGCCTTGGTGTAGCATTCAGTAGTGTATTATTGATTATTACAAGGGCTGCTCTGTGCTTCAGTCAAGCAAATCTATTTGGTACCTACTATGGCTACCACCTTTCTTCCTGGGGGAATGCCTTTATCTGACATCCTCCCCCTAATTCTGGTATGTGAGACAGACCCCACAACACCTTTTTGCTTTCTGGCAAAACGTAGGAAAATGATGGGAAGAAAAAGAAAGGAAAAGAAATTCTATGACACCACCTTCTGGCCCTTGCTTTGTGTATAGGACTAGGCCAATCAGTCCCTCCCCTGCTTTGGGGAGTTATACTAAGAGCAGAAGTTATAATTTAGAAGAATCACTTCTTTAAGATAAGAAAAAAATAAAGTATAAACCTTTTTTGTAGTCACATGTAAAAACAATACATAGAGAGGAAAATGGAAACACAGTGCTGCCAAAATCACAAGGAACGTCTTCCACAGAAAAATGCTGTAAAAGTTATAAGATTCTGAGGAAATCACAGGATGGTACTGGTTTCCTGATATTGTAGAAGCCATTATAGCGGAAGGAGATGCCACTTTGCATGAAACTTACGTGGGCTGAGCATGTATAGAGGCAATAATAATTAGAGAGAAAAAATTAACCTTTAGCATACACGGAACAAAAGAATAAAAACTTAGTGGAATACTTAGCTTGCATTTTCCTGTTTCTGTAAAGAATAGACAAGCCCCAGAAGAGAAATCATATCAGTACCAATTCTTCCTGGAATCTCCTCTAGATCTTCTAAGGATTCCAGTCAGTTAATTCAGAGGCATTTTTCCCTGACTTGATTCTAGGTCAGCTTCTCTTTTCCTCAGAGATCTTTTGGGGGGGGGGGGGTGTAAGTTTTTTTTTTTCCTTCAGAAGGGGAAGGACTGGGGGAATCTGACTCAGGATATGTATATGCTGCTGATTTGAAATGAGTGAATGGGGATTGCATCTGCAAATCGGTAAATAAGAAAGGGGTGGGGGAGCCTGTCTGCCCATTCACTAGAACATGGAACAATAGTCAAGTTATAAGAAGGCAAAAAATCTGGTTGAAGTTAAAAAAAATGGTAGTGGTGAAAGCCACTCAATGATGGAGAAAACAGCTGAGTGAGGTGGTGAGGTCGCTTCCATTGAATGTGTTCATCCATCTCTTGTGGATGCTTTAATCTGGATTCCTATACTGAACAAGGGGTTGGGTTTGCTTTTACTTTATTTATTTTATTTTATTTGGCTTACACATAGTGCCAGTCATTGATTGACTCTCCCTCTTCCAGCTCTAGAATTCTAAGGATGCCAGTTTCAACCATTCACCCATGGTATAATTCTCATCATATTAGTCTTAGTTTACTGTTGCCTTTACCTCTGAGGAAAGGATGATGCTTAACTGTAAGACTCCTCTTTCCTCTCTTGATCTAAAATATTATTAATAAGGATGCAACGTTTTGCAAATCCAGGAGTTGAAAACATCCTTGGCTTGGTCTTAAGCATGTCTACCCAGAATTAATCCCTCTAAATTCATGTAACCTGCTGTCTAGTTAAATATTTTTTGATTAAAAACCTTATAGTGTAATCCTATATGTTTACCCAGATGTGAGCTTATTCTCAGAGTTTAGCCCGGGCCAACCAACAGGAAGTTCTGAATTATTAGACAGAAGATATAAATTTCTTAAATATATCGGAAGTGCAAACAGTTTAAATACCAAAGACTTCAGGTTCTCCTTTAACAGAAGAGAGTGTTTCTTCTTTCTCATTTTAGAAGGATTGCTTTTGCTAGGTTTTCCCAATTCTTCTCAACTCCATTTTTACTCATGTGTATATTTAATTGATAAAATATTTTATTAACATTTAAGTCACCCTGCCCCAACTTTGTGCCCATTAGATATCCTGTGATATCTATTACCTCCAGAATATGCACTGCATTAACAGACCTTGGCAATTACTTTAAAATGTTGATCCCTGACATCCTCTATA